CCCCAAGGCCCCCCCCCCCCACCCCCCGCCTTGTGGCACCGCTCCCCGAGGCCCATCCCTCGCCTCGAGGCATCGCTCCTAGAGTCCCTTCCCCCGCCTCGAGGCACCGCGCCCCGAGGCCCCTCTCTCGCCTCGAGGCCCTCCCCTACTCCCCACCTCGACTCCATTTTCAACACCTGCATATGTTAGCACACTGCAATGTTTAACTACTGTATATATTTTCATTAGGAAAGGTGCCACTGCAATGTTTAACTACTGTATATGTTTTCATTAGGGGAAATGTGACATAATCTGACAAGACTGAACAAGAAAAAGGTTTGGTGCTAGAATATGAAACCATGTTTGTTTAAGTAGCTAGCTATATAGACTAACCGCTCCTTATGAGTTATGATCAGTTATCTAATTGGACTGATCATGTACATCTTATCTCATTTTACATATTCCCAGAATTGCAAGTGTTCAGCTCATTCTGAATGTGAAGTTTCTTCAAGTATTAATATGATAATAATCGTGTTCACAGTTTAATATTCATAAATATTTAATGAATATTTTAATAGTTTTAGCAAAGATTATTGGTTTTTCATGAACCCACAAGCAATTAATTGTTGGATCCATCCGAGATAAGTCCCAAATCTTTGAACAAAAAAATATATGTGTTCAAATTTTGAGAATGAAATCAACTTTGTTAGATGATACTTTATTTTCTAAAATATTTTTCGGTGCAAATTAATTAACAAGCCCCGAAACAGATACCAATTGACACTAAGTAGAAACAAAACAAAAAGTATTCATTTTATTGTTCAACTTATGCAAAACATTAATGTTCCAGAAGAGGATTGTTGAGTGTCACAAAGTGTGGATTTTGACTCATAAAAGTGTGACCCATTCAGCTGTTTAAGTTGACTTAGGTTTCTATATTAGGATATGATATGATCCAATACTCAAACTATCCTGATCATAGAATATTAAGAAAAAGATGCCATAAACATCGTGATGTGGTCATCATGCAAGCTAACTCACCATAGCATGATCATAAGGAAAAAAATGTTAAGATCATGGCGAAAACATATGCAGTAGAGGTCAGAAGGTAGTTTCTTACGATGATGCGGTCATCATGCAAGCTACTCCAAGCAACTGTAGTCGTTGCGCTTGTCCATCAATCAAATGCAGAGTGTCTGGGCCTGTACTCCTTGGCAACCTATACATCAAACAAGCTCCACATCAAACTGACGAATTACTGAGCTCATCGATATTTGTTCATAAGTTTCAGTATGGTGAAAATTCTATCTGCAAAAAGGCGTGGTTTTGTATTGAGAAGAGTCATATGCATTAAACCTATGGACTCTGCATCCCAGAGGATGGCAACTTAAGTTCACTCGAAATATGCATAAATATAGATCACCACGCATAGGAGTGAATCAATTTTACTGAAGTACCTCCGGCGATCCGTCTTCATTATAAATAGAGCTATCTGGTTGCTTTGAAGACTCATCCTCAGTACAAATGACTGGAAATTCAGCTACTGGCATCAGTAAAACTCTATTTGCTTCAGCATTATACGACGATATTTTCCCAACCTACAAGCAGAAGGGAACATCAACTTCACAATCAGAAGTACATAATATGATGGAGACAACTTATACCCGATAGGAGGAAACTTCAGGGTCCAGGTTGATGATAACTCAAGCAGCCGGTATGCAATCACAAGACCTTCCTGCCAAATTAAAAAACTGTTTTTCTAAATACTAAAATTGTGGTCACCCAAATCAATACATCAACCACCATCCAATGTCCGGAGTTTTGGGTAGTGTAGATTGTCAGCTGCTTTGTTTGAGTCTCATTAGTCTAAAGTTAACAGCAGATATCAGTGCAACAGATACTGAAGGCTACAGATGCATTAAAAAACAAGAACAAACCTTGGGCAGGCCAGAAGTTCTAAGTATGGAAGAAATCATGTTGGGAGTGTCAATTCCGAAAGGACCCTACAATGCGCGATCTAAATTTATTTGAGACACCAATGCAGACTCCGAACATCGGCTGGAATTTTTTTTTTAGGTTGTTGATAAATAAGAAATCCTACATTTCATCTCACTTCCTTAGTTTTCCTGAATTTTGATGAAACCAAGTTTAAGAACCCTACCAAAAGAAGTGTTTGAAGAGTTAAAACCTAAGCCTAAAACAATACTTTTATAACTAAGTTCCAACTAAAAGCCCCAAAGACAAGCTTTTGGTGAAAGAGCAGAAAAAAGGTCACTTTTTGGAGTGTTTAGAAGAAGACTTTTTCCTTGGGATGCATTTTCCTTTTACAGCCTTCAATTCCTCCTCTTCTTCTTCTTCTGTTGCTACTTCTCTTAGCCCTGCCTTTGAGCTCCTACATATTGAAGTACTTTAAATACACATTCAAATATTAAAGCCTGATGACAAGTCTGTCTATTCTTACTTTTCTTCAACTTAGACAGACCTTTTTCACCTAAAATAAGAAAGTTGAGACAAACTTTTACCAATGTAATAACAAGTTTTTAAAACTATTCTACTAAAATGAATGACCTTACATTGACAAAATAGTAATCCATCAACTCCACTTTATGTGGACAATTACTATTTGCATAGTCATAGGACTTTTTATCTTTTCCTTGCCATTTTTCTTAATATAGTTTAACTATTTTGAATTATTAATTAGTGTGACTGATATGTTATTTATGTCATTTCTAAATATATGATGATAACCGAGTATACTAACCATGGAGACTAATGATCCATCTGCAAGTGGCAGGAAGAGGGATAGCGGTGATCTTAGTTACAACTTCAGATACAAGAAACAATCTTTTTCAATTTACTCACATTGCAAAGCAGCTTATTAAATAAAAGGTTTATAAAACTGTGACAACTCGAAACTATCAAAAGTTGCTTAACTTCTTCTACTCATTTGTTTAAAGATAAATTTTTTCCCTAACAAATTAAGAACAGTACTAAAATCATTTAAGAAGACAAAAAGCATGAATTCATGTTAACACTGAAAATAATAACCTAGAATGCCACTGGTCCACATCATAATTGTCCGATGATACTATGTCCGGAGAATTTTGATGTGTGGATGCTGAAAAAGCCTATGGTCTCTCAAAAGATTAAAAAGATTGCTGAATTTCGAAGTGATCTTTTCCCTGTCTCTCCATCCATAAGCTTCCAACGCTAGGGGTTCCTTTCTCTTGGTCGGCCTCCCTTGGAGTGGAAGGCTGCCGAGCGTTATGGGACGTGGGAAAAATCTTCTTCTGTTTCTGATTACTCTGAAAAAACGAAGCTTTGGTTGACGCAATCCTATGTGACCCACCTCTTTAGTACTACATGATGAACTTAATTTCTTTTCTGCAGCAAAGCTTCTTAGAAGAGTTGGAGAAGCCTGTTGCACTGTTGGCCTTTGAAGATGTATCCAACTGCCCTATTGGAGAGCTTCTGGATGTATCACAGCGGCAAAAGACCGCTAGTAGCTTCATGGTATGAAATGTTATTTTTTTATGATTAATCTTTGATTAAAAGCTTCCAAAGCCTTTTGTAGATGTTAATATGGGCACAAAATCAGCTTGGTGAAAAAGCCATGTATCCGGGCATAAAAGATTTATCGACTGCTAAACTGGAAGATCCTCCTGTTATAAGGATAACCAAAACTTGACCAACTGCTTGAAGATGATGTATCGTTCTTCTTTTTGACCTATAGTTACTTTCATTTTTAATTAAATTATGGATTCTTAGATTAATGTTGTGTTTGTTTATCGATCACAATGTACAGTGAACTTGTTTATCAAAATAAACAAAGAATTCAACTTCCAAATATCACAATCTCGACCAAAAAACAAAAATGAAATCCCTCAAATCCTTGCATAACAAAAACCCTCAAATCACTTCACTTGATTTTATACAAATTGATTTGTACCCAGTATCTTAAACATTAACCATTTTACCTATTTTATCCAAGAAAAAAATATCCCACAAAACGCACCTACATTTTCCTCGCATACACAAATTTATGCAAGAAACCCCATAACCAACATACAAACAAGTGAATCATCAAACCAATAATCAAAAAAATACACAAAAACAAGATAAAACCCAGTACTCAAATTATTTTCCTACAGTAAAAAAAAACAGAGATAAAAAACAGAGAAAGACTCACAAGTTTGGAGGAATTAGAAATCGAGTTGCGAGCAGAGATAGCTGTATGATTCGAGATCTGTCAGATTATGGAAGCTCCAACATTCAATTCTCTGATCTGATTATTCTCCAACCCCGATGAATTGCTTGTCTCTTTACCACCGCACTCGAAACAGAGGAATACCTATTCTGGGTCGTCATCATATCCTCCTTGTAATGTAAAACGATCGAAAAATTAAACCCTTATCAACTCTTCTTCAAGAAAACGAAGAAGAAGCCGTTACTCTGTAATTCAAAGAGGGCGATTTGAATTTGATTTGATGTAGGTGTTCGTTAGGAGCGGATAAGGGTTGGGCCCACTAAATAAAATCACCAATAAGATGAAGACACGTAGGTAATGTGTATTGTGGGTTTAGTAATTTTCTTGTAAAGGAAAATCTATTAAAATCCAATTATGAGTAAGCATTGAAACAACGTATTCGGTAAAATCTCATGAGTTAGCTACATCCAAAGAAGATGGTGTATACACATTGGATAAAAAATCTGTCTAAAGTTTTGTGAGCATTTGGTTTTGTTTTATTGTGAAATTTTTTAAGAAGATAATTTTTGTTTTTAAATTGTAAACTTATATTTGACAATAATTTTTTTTTTAATTCAACTCGAAGTTGTATTTCAAATTTGAAAACGGATTATGTCATGTTTTCCAACTCACAATTTACTTTTTGAATTGTATTTAAGTACATTCATGTATGATTTATATGAATATTAGTATTGTTTTAAATACTTTTGCAAAAAATATAACTAAGCACAACTATTTTTAACTCCTCCATAAATTCTAACTAGAATAAAAAATATTTATAATCTACAGTCATAACTCATACGTCTACTAAGACTATTAATTAATTTGAAATGAAGTTCGTTTTTTATCCATAGATTTTGTTTCAAAATTTTGAAATTATATTTGGAGATTATTTTGAATTAGTTTTTGTTTATTACACTTGCCACATTTGAAAAAAAAAAGCTTTCTAAAGTTCATTCACAAAAAATTAAACTGTATTTTCGCGTCCAAACACAATAAAAAGAATGACATATTTTAGGCCTTATCTCTAAGTATTGTATTTTTCTTGATTGACAAATATTTAATGAATTTTTTTTTTTTTTTTATATTAGGTCTCACTTATTTGACAAAAAGTTCACAAGTGTTTTCCTTCTATTTAAAAATTCATTTCTTAAAGATAGTTTTGAATAATTCATTTCAGTCAATTTACATAGATTATATAAATTGAAACATATGAAGTAATTAATATGTAATTGAAAAAAAAATTGGTACATGATGAAGTGGAAAGAAAAAAATGGATAAAGAAGAACTACCTCTTCAATAACTTTGTCACGATCCAGACTGTTGTGATTGACACCCACATGATCCACAATTCTGTATTGAGTTTGCAAAAGAAAAATAAAAAAGAATCTGTTGTTAGTAATAGTGGAGTTTCATTGCATGAAAAATAAGTGATGTTGGTAAGTGGATTGAGATGGAAATTAATCAAAGGTGAATTATTAGATGATTTTCGGAATTTAAATTCAGTTCCATAGAATCGGGGTAGCTGGGTCTGTCCAATTTTTCATGATGATAGAAGATAGCAAAAACTTGAATTCTATTTATTGAATCTACTCGAATTTACCTCCAAAGTCATTTAGAGAGCTCATTCAAGCTTGAGGCTTATTTGGAAAAATCCAATCACGCTCGCCTAAGGCCCTATCTTTCACCTCATTCAACAATCATAATAGACTCTATAGCTGGATCACGCATGCTAAAAACACAACGGATCAGAGGGGATAAGATGTTCCACTCATCAAAGTGTGATACACCAAGCTTCTGCCTAGAAGTAAGCTACCCTCTTTGTCACTTTCAAATCAATTCCATGAAACTCTTATCCATTCTCATTAAGAGACATCGGGGGAGCAAATCCAGCTAACATTGGGATTGGAGATAATTAGGCTCGAACTGATCACTTAATTTAATTATGTGTTGTGATTAAAGGAAACCAAGTGCACATTGCTAAAAGACAGTCAAGCTAAGAAGTAAAACACAAAAAGTAGATCGTACATAACAAAATATAAGACATAACGACCTTTAAGCATAGGACAAACAAAAAGTTTATTTTTATAGTTATATACATTGGTTGTGTAAATATTTTTCTACATAATTATCTTGTATTTTGACCTATTATAAAAGGTTGGTTACTACAATTTTTTAACAGGCTATATATGTCCTCCTATATTTGTCCCAACTATTGCTTGTATTTTATATATTTTTTAACGTATAACATATTACTTTCCATTTAAGATATATATAGTAGGGAGGGCCAAATAACACTAAATCTTAGTGCTAAAGACCAATGTGGAGGTTCGAGTCCACTAAAAGGCATAATATTGACGATCACAATGTAAGCTCTTGAAATAGCAATACACTTAGTGCTTACAAAATCTTATTGATCATCTCGTCTATCTAATAAATGGAACGCCTGTTTTAAAATTGTAAATAGAGAACTAATAATTTAGTATGTCGATTGCATTCTAGGCATGATAAAAGAGGGATGAACATACTTATTAAAGAAAAAACAAGTGAATAGAGGGTACACAAATTTGTATGACTACATTCTAAAATATAGTTGCCTCTGTTTAAAAATTAATTTATTTTATTTTATCTAAATAGTAGTAAAATCTTTTCTATTTTTTACTCACACAAAAAATAATCAATATTTAATTATCATTTTTTATATTCT